TAGTCAGAGCGCAGGATAAACTGTGGTGTGAGGTGTAATAGTTTACTTCCTGATTTAGCAGACGTGCTGTTTGATTTTGTCTGATGATTTCTTTTCACCTCAGTAAAGTATGATTCATGTGTGTGCCTGCTTGGTGTGTGTTGTTGTCTCTGTAACTCGGATAACGTTCTTACCGTGCTCATGGTCACTAATTCCACTCCACTCTATAATTCTGTCCTGTTGCGAGTCGTCAGTCATCCTGAGAGAGCGAGAGCTATCACACGCTTCTTACGAGACGTTAAGTCACTGATATCATCTTCCCAAGCTGTTTGACATCCATGTGGAAAATCCAGAAACCGGAAACGTCAGATTTCTAATTCTACTAAAGCGTGTACACATCTGGAATTAAAATATGTGCACCTGTACCGAGCCTGCTATGGACTTCTGCATTCTGATTGGTCAGAAGGTGTTGATTTAGTTTTCTATAACAGCAGCTCTGACAGTAGTGCAGGTTTATATTAATGTTAATGCACTCTACCTTTCTAATACGTTATTGTTTCTATAGTAACAGCTCATTCACAGGGACGTGTACAGCAAACGCTCCACATAAACTGATTTTAAAAAAAAAACCTGTGTAATCGCTGATATGGTGAAGGAGTCAAGCAGAACCATTTTAGGAACCTTAGTTCCCTTAGTTCTCCAATTAGAACCCTTTTAAATGGATTTTTAAAAAAGTCTTTGATAAGGTGACGTTTTCTGTAAGGAGAAATGTGTTTATGTAACATTTATGGAAGGAGTCTCCAGTGTCAGCGCTTTGTAACAGTCAGAGGTAAAGCTGTAACTTTAAGTTTTCTGACATCTTCAGGACAGAGGAGTTTACGCTTCTTTGCAGTTTCTCACTAACATGCGTAACAAGCTGCGATTATTAACTTATTGACTTGAAGAGAGAGAATAAAGAGAGGCTGGTGAGGGAACGAGTGTTTATAGCTGCTATAACGTAAGCGACAACAGGAACTAACTTGTTTCACCGTCATTAAATGTAACTATAAATGGATAAATAGTATGATGTATCGTTCTTTTAATAATAAATTGTAATAGTTGGTAAGTTGCTGTGGTGTAAGAGGAATAAAATGCTTGGGGACGTGCTGTTAGAGGAAAATAATTGAATTCAATTCAAAAAAGAAAAACATTAAATATTTGAGATTAGTTTTATTTCTCTCTCCAGTAAAAGTTTAATAAAATAACACTTTATATTCCTTAGAGACTGAAAGTTCTCCTTCTTGCATCATCTTAGTCTTAATAAATATATATTACGTCTCTTGTTTGTTCACGATGGATGAAATGATGATTTAAAAGCAGAAAGAGTTCATAAAAATATAACAGAAGTAAATAATCCGGATGCTTAATAAATGCATCTGATAAATAAAGCTCTTAATTTAAACTGAAGCGTGAAGCTTGTGGAGATTCGCAGCCCTACAGCTGATGTCCCTAAAACATCGCAACGCAATAAAGCAGAGGAAATGAGATTCCTCTCGCTTCCTGTCGTGCACCTGAGCGCTTAATGGAGAGTGGCGAGGTGTTCGGCGGCGTCTGGCCGAGCGTCTGGACCGTGGGGACGGTGGAGCAGGAGCGCAGCGCCGCTGATGGCGTTTCTACAAACCCATAAATTACACACGTCTCTCAGAGCCGAGCTGCTCATCCATCCCTTTTCCTGCTCCATCCTCAGCGCTGAGGAATATTATCACACCGGGCTGCTCACGAGTCTGTACGCTAATCAACACCACACTCATTAAACACAGGCCTGTGCTGACGGAGACGTCATCAGCCTTCACTTTACACTGTTATGTACTGCGTTAATGCGTTAATGTGTTGGTTTATTCAGCACTTAACGTTTCGAGCTACACTGATGCAGTTTTATAATGATAGCGTGTAAAATGTACTGTATATTTAATGCGTGTCATGAACAGGGAGGTAAAGGAAGTGTGTACTCTGTTCAGGACGTGCTCTCTTAACACGGTGTTAATCATCTGGTCTCTAGGAAAGCTGTGATTGTGCACTTTTATAGTCATTTAGAAATTTAAATAAGTGTTTTAAATAAATCCAAAACATGAGTATTTTATCCAGACTCATTACCAGGGGGAGAGAGAGAGAGAGAAAGAGACGCTGAAAGTAGTGTATTCAATACACTGTTAAACTTTCATATAAAAAAAGTAGTTAAAAAAAAAGTATCAGTTGAGAGAGAGAGTGTGTGTGTGTGTGTGTGTGTGTGTGTGTGTGCAGGGCATTGAGCAAATACTGTAATAATATTCCTGAATAATTTTATACCATTTAAAATAGTAATAATTTGTATAATAATGTTTATAAACACTCAGGAAATGAATAAAACACCTCTATAATTTGGACCTCATTAAAAACACCAGTATCACCATGAATATACATGAATATGCAAATTTAGGAACGCCCCCATTTCCTCCTGCCATCCCAATTATCCATAATATCACTAATATGATCTCACTTAGCTAATCCATTAGCACCTGTCAGAATATAACGTTACCATGACAACCACTCTGTGTACATTGAAGCGTGTAGGTTCCGCGGCTAAATGTTTCTGGGTTCTCGTCCTCCAGTCATTTGCATATCTGGATCATGATAGGTTCATATTATAAACATGTTTCATGACAAGCTCATGTGAAGCCCCGCCCCCTAATTTAGGTCTGATTTAAAAAGCAAAAATATGAATTTAGGTCTGTGGTAACAAATCAAACCTGAAAATCCAAATCTCTCTAATCAGAATTAGTATCCAAAAGTCTTCCCAGATCAGATTCCCTGAAGTCTGATTTTTATGAGAATGCTTTATTGGAAGATTTCTAAAGAACCTAAACGTAGAATCGCGTGTTAGCGCGTTAGCTAGTTTGTCCAGGTTCCTGTGTTGAGTAGCGCTGTAATACACACGCCAACAATCAAAACACACCAGACGTTTTGTCTGACATTCGGAGTGTTTACACGCGCTGGCACTTTGTGTTGGAAAAAGGCGACACGGGCACGGCTCCACGGCTGGATCCGGGGACGAGATGAAAGGATCCCGGAGCGCTGTGTGGAAGTGTTTACGGTGTTGGGAGACTGGAGACGTTCCCCAGCACTCGTTCCACAAGCTTCTGTTTTTCCTCCACTTAATCCTCCGCCGCTCTCACCGCGCTCTCGCCGCTGTCTGGCCCGAGACGTGCATTAGTGTCCTTTTGGTTATTGTCTCGGCCGGATTGGAGCGTTTCCACCGCTCCCACGCCACGCTCGGCTCTTCAGGAACAGAAAAGCAGGAGCTTTTGTCTTCTTCACCTTGAATGGAATTAATTTGTCGGCCTGACTTCTGTCTCACTAAACCTTCTGCCTCTCTCTGTCTGTGTCAGATTGTCTCTCACAACAGGGCGTCTCACTTCCTGCGGTACAATATGGCTCTTCTCAGCAGGCACTTCCTGGGCTCCGTGTCAACGTCTCAATAACACTCAGAGCAGCAGAGACGTGAGAGCAGGAGAAGCGTCCTGACGCTGGTCTACCTTCACTTCCGTCTCTGTGTCACCGCATCAGTTCAGTTTATTCAGAGGTGTTCAGTGTGTTAGGGTTTGTTCACAGGTGTTCAGTTTGTTAAGGGGTTTATTCACAGGTGTTCAGTTTGTTATGGGGTTTATTCAGAGGTGTTCAGTTTGTTAAGGGGTTTATTCAGAGGTGTTCAGTTTGTTAGGGTTTATTCAGAGGTGTTCAGTTTGTTAGGGTTTATTCAGAGGTGTTCAGTTTGTTATGGGGTTTATTCAGAGGTGTTCAGTTTGTTATGGGGTTTATTCAGAGGTGTTCAGTTTGTTAAGGGGTTTATTCAGAGGTGTTCAGTTTGTTAGGGTTTATTCAGAGGTGTTCAGTTTGTTATGGGGTTTATTCAGAGGTGTTCAGTTTGTTATGGGGTTTATTCAGAGGTGTTCAGTTTGTTATGGGGTTTATTCAGAGGTGTTCAGTTTGTTAGGGTTTATTCAGAGGTGTTCAGTTTGTTATGGGGTTTATTCAGAGGTGTTCAGTTTGTTAAGGGGTTTATTTAGAGGTGTTCACTTTATTCAGAGGTGTTCAGTGTGTTAAGGGGTTTATTTAGAGGTGTTCAGTTTGTTAGGGTTTATTTAGAGGTGTTCACTTTATTCAGAGGTGTTCAGTTTGTTAAGGGGTTTATTTAGAGGTGTTCACTTTATTCAGAGGTGTTCAGTGTGTTAGGGTTTGTTCAGAATCGAGATCACACACACACACACACACACACACACACACACACACACACACTCAGCTACCGACGTCTCGTGTATTATTTCACTCTGCCGTGTGTTGGATGATTGTCCTGAGTTATTTATGAGCGCGTCAGTCGGAGCTGAACGCGCCGGAGTTGAACCTCACGTCCTGTCACTCAAACCCTGATCACTGCAGCGGCGAGGAAAATAACCTGAGTGCGTTTGTGCTTGCGTGAATTTGATTCAACTTCCTGCCACCATATCCTGTCACTAAAACACACACACACACACCAGTCTGATGCAGTCCATAGTACAGTCTGAGGTTTAATGCATTTAACGTGTTTTGGATTATAAGTGAATTTACAGGAAAAAAACACTCTTTCACTCAGGTTGTGTTTTTATTCTCTAATTCACAGAGTGGTTCATTTCTTGTTTTTTTAATGACAGGTAAATTAATGAAAGCACTCTTTTCTGTCCTGATGTTGGAGTTGTTGCGTAGTGACTTTTGTTTCCAAAGCTGTCGATGCTCAAAGTCTCAGAGAGCGACAGAGAGAGAACAGACGACAGAATTTACACGCACAGGCCGACTTTGTGTTTTGTTGTGTTACTTTGTAGGTTGGTGTTGGCGCTAATCGGAGGTGTTTGACAGATCGCTAGTCTGGGTGTTCAGGACAAGCGTTTACATTTACTCATTTTATCTGGCGCTTCTTTACAAAGTGACCTGAAAGTGAGCAGTTGAAGGTTTAGGACCCAGTGGTGGCAGTTTGGCAGGAACGGGGTTTGAACTCGCGACCTTCTGATCAGTAATCCAAAGCTGTGACCACTGGGCCACAACTTCCCAGTAACCTTTGATAAAACGGTCACCAGCATTTATTTTTATCTATCTATCTATCTCTCTATCTATCTATTTAAAATTTGCTCTCTGCAACCATAGAAAGAAAAACTCTACTCTGGATTGTCGTCAGTAAAATACAGCTTTTCGTTTGAAGTGTTTAAGATCGCGAGTGTCGAATCCCCACAGCCATCCATGACCAGGAGTCCAAGAGAGCAAAATTGTCCATGCTCTCTGAGTGGGAGGGGCATACTCTCTCTCCCCTGTCAATCACAGTGACACTAGCCAATCATGGGCATCTGTGAGGTCATGTATGCGGAAGAGGGCAGACAGCTCTTTCCTCCGAGTGTGTTTAACGCTGCCGTGTGACGCAGCACGAGCAGCAGTTTGAAGAGATCTGGTTGTCTCGACGTGTCTCAGAGGAAGCTCGTGTTAGCCTTCAGTCTCCCTGTTCGGTGGCTGGTGTATGATGGGGAGAAAAACTATATAAAATATTTTTTAAAATTCCAGAATGATGAATATGAAGGGGCGTGGAGACGGTGATGAAACTGAAAACCTATTCTATAACTCAGCTCTCACTTAAACACTTCTCTGAGCGGAAATAAAGACGCTAGCTAGTATGATCTGACGTCTTCATGTGCGGCGGGAAAACCCCACAACTCGTAGCTGACGTTTTCACTGAACGCTTTCTGTCGAGGACACAAACACGACGCTCGGAGGTGTTCTCAGGAGACGATTAAAGACTTGTGCGTCTGTGTAAACTCGCCCTCAAAGCACACGGATTCTAATACTCGCTTATTTTCCTGTTTCTGTATTAATAAACATAACTAACTCCTCATATTTATCGTTTAAATTATTTTACCAGTTAACTGGGCGTCTGGGCCACGAAACCTCAGCTGACTGGAGCTTCGACTCGACTCGTTAATGAAGCTCTGATTACTGCAGCGAGCGCTGAGTAAGGAGTCTCCGTTCCTACAGCAGTGTGTGTGTGTGTGTGTGTGTGTGTGTGTGTGTGTGTGTGTGTGTGACGTGTCTAACTCCTCATCACGGTTCAGTGTGTGTTCCTGTTAAACTGAGTGCTGTGGTTCTGTGCGGTTCTTGAGAAGTGGCGAGCTCACATGGCCTTATGGGTAATGCATGTGTCGTCATGGAGATCTCGTATCTCAGGGTGTTGCATTAATCATGCAGTGTATCGTCTCCTTTAACGTCTCTCCTGCAGTGTGTTTAGGAAACGGAGTATCGTACACCATCATCACAATTAGCTTCTCAGGCAGAGTTTCACCCCCGTGTGTG